CAATGTTTAGTTGCTTTTTTTCTTTTTTTTTTTTTTTTAGCTTACCTGAAAGCTCTGCATCTTCATCCTCCACTTGATAAGTAGGTTTTTCCACAAGAGAATTTTTGTTTGCTGGAATACACTCATATTTCTCTGAAGTGTCTTCATCTTTGAACCTACACACAATGTTTTTTGTAAATTGCTTTCAAATACAATAAAAGGTAGAACAGCAGTGACCGCTTTTATTTGCACAGGTCCACAGTAATACTTTCTTTCCCCTTTTACTGCAAGAGAGAGGTGAAGCAACTCAGACCTCCTTTGCTGAGCACAAGCCAGGCCTGCAGCACAGCTTCGAGCTTCTTCTCTTCAACCAAGAGATCTCCTCATCCTCAGCACACCCCCAATCCTTGCAGTTCAGCAGAAAGACACCCGTTATAACCAGAATTTCACACTTCCACGCTGTAGCATGGTAAGGCTGAGAGAAGTTATTTACCAAATACAATGAGAAGATCAGACTACATGACCTAATTGGCTTGGGTGGCCTCAATATCCAAGGAATAAAAACAACAACAACATGGTTGATTAAAATCACCAAAATCTTTCTGCACGTAATTTTAATGTGCTGTAGGCTTCACACCAAGAAGTGTTGAGCAGCTGCTGGCTGTGATGTGAGCTGAGCTCATACGGAAAGCAGCGTTGATTGAAGGCAACTCGGAGCTACGGGAGAACAAATTCTTGGAAGTGCGTTCAGGGAGCTGTCGTTGTTGGGGATATTCACGGAAAACGAGAGAGGAGCAAGCAGCCATGAGCATGCATCGGTGTGTTACTCCAAACGATGTGGCAGCATCCTTAAAAGGATGTGGTCCAAGCAAAACAAGGATTATTAATGCTGGTAGTGGAAACTTAAAGAAGTAGGCATAAAGCTGGCTGCTGAGTAAGTTTTGCAGGTGAGATATGTCTGTGTTATCCATCAGTAAAATAATCATGAGCCACTTCAGTGAGCAAAAGGACTAAGGACCCAAATGTGAAAGGGCTATACTCACGCAGCCAAACTGCTCTGCTGTGACATAAGTAACTAAAATATGCTTTCAATCAAGATCTTGATCTTCTATGAGTGAAGTGTCAGGTAGAAATATCAGAGCTTTTATAGTCCTAATCCTTTCAAATGTTCCTGTCATACAGAAGTAGGGTTTACATTGTCCTGTTCCCTTTGGGGGATGATGCCTCACGGTGCTGACAGGCAGGACAGAGTTTATCTTCTTCCGAACATTTGTGTTCAGCCCACAGGAGGGGCACGTCTCTGCCGCGCCGAGGCATCGAAATGCTGGAAAAGCAGCTGCAACAAATGGTCTTCCCCGGGTACATGCTGCAATCACATGCACTGGCATGGCATGGCACGGCATGGCGGGCGGATGGGTCAGGGACATTGGCTCAGTGTCAGAAATCTGCTATTTCACCATCACTCTCTGAATAGGTTTCTCTCTTACTGGCGATCCCACTAAATCCAGGAGCAAAAAATTTGGATTTAGCCCATCCTAATGATCTCTAGACTTCCCTGAGGGGACTGTGAAGTTAAACTTGCACTCACTTGGTCACTTTTTCATCGAACAGAAGCAAGACATAGGACGACTCGTATCACCCATATGCACTTCCACAACTGAAACGGGATTCGTGCCCCAGCTAAAGCCGGTTTCCAGTGTTTCCTTCATTTTAATAGTCACATAGAGTAACCTCGACGAGCCGACACGGGGCTAGAGTTTCAGCTTCAGGCCAGGAAATCCCAGGTGGGATGAAGGGCTGGCACACCAGGCACCCATTGGGATGTCCCACGTGTCCTCCCTGCCCATCATCCCTCAATGCTGCTGCCGAGTTTGGGCGGTTGGGGGAAACTCGGCAGAACTGATCTCATCGCTCCTTCAGTATTTCAGGGAGAATTATCAAGAGCGTAAGATGGACAGAAGACTTTTAAAATCCAATCTTTAGCTTGCTACATGTATAAGAAATCTGCTCCTCAGGTGTGCTGTGTTCCTGAAAATACTGAGCTGAGCTGGACCTTCCTTGTCCTCTTGGCACTGAGAAACACTGGAAGTGCACCTCTGCCATAAACTGGGCTCCACTGGCGTGTTATTTCATATCAAAGTAAGATTAAAAAGACTCTATCACCTTTAAATAGTCACCAAGTTTGGTCAAAATCTTAACTCAGCCTGTTAGAAAGATGCCAGTGTCCCACCTATGCATACACTCACCCAGTATTCTTAAGGGTGTTATTAATTACTGGGTGTTTTCATACTTTTCAAATAACAATTTTTATTTGTTTTAAGAAGAATGTTTAAGCCTTACCTTAACGAGAAGGTTTGAAAGGAATCCGGAGCTTGTCCGTTGCGGCGTGCCTGTGAAAGTGGAGATGCTGATGTCCCTGGGCTGGACCTGCAGTTGCCCCACCAGCTCTCAGTGCTCTTTTGTCCACGCACCTGTTTTTTCATTCAGGCTCTCCTGCCAAAAGGCAGTCCTGACACCATCCCTCCACTTCTCCCTGGCTTCCTCTCCCCTTCTTCCTTGGCAGATCTTCAGATTTATTTATGTTACGAAAAGCAAACAGAGCATATTGTTGTGGAGTTGTTGGAGCGGATTCTCTGAAAAGCTACTCAAGAAATTCTTGAGTTTTGGCCAGGAGGATAACAGAAAAAAAAAAAAAAAAAAGAGTCCAACAACAAACCACACAGAAATTCTTTCTCTGGCAAACTCTGTTATGTTTCTCAGTGCAGAGAGGCTGAACATCACGGCACACTGCTGAAGGCAGAGGAGCAAACGGTGACTCACGCTATCTCCAAATGGCAAAGGTTGTGTTTGCCAACTGTTTCAGTGCTACCAGCCCTGATGGAGGAAGAGCAGCGAAGCGCTGCCTCCTGGATAGGAACGGCTCCTCCGATCGCAAAACATATCGTAAACACTAAAATAAACTTCTCTCAACTAACTCTGTGCTTCTAAAGGGATGGGGTTTGATTTCATGCCCAGGCTGCGCCTGCCCCTCCGTCACCCACAGCAGCATCCGCTGCGGCAGCACGGCCGAGGAACCCATGGTGGAAGGGAGAAGGAACCAACGGGGACAGAAGCTGGGCTTGCACACGTGGAGGAGCTGGATGCACTTCCCTTCGCTCTGCCTAGCAGAAAAAAAAAACCCATCCCTAACATTTAAATGACATTCAGATGGTTTAGAGCCAGGCAGACTCCAGAGGTGCAATAAGTCAGGACACAGAATCAAGCTAAGACCTGTCCTCAGTACATCTCCTCGGTGTACAAACCTTCTCTTTCTCTTTCAGCCCCTCCTCGTAAAGGGAAAAAGCCAAACCCTTAAGCAGAGAAGTGGATACGCCAGGTCCCAGTTAGTGAATCCCACAGACACCTCCCTGCCCACCTCCGTGATAGGGACACTGATGTTTGGAGCTCCACATGGAAAGCAGCTCTCTTCCTGGCAGGAACAGCCCATCGCTGAGCCACGGCATCCAGCCTGCAGGTACTTGCTTGCTCGTGTCCCTGCCTGCACTGTCTGGGCACGTGTCTGTGCCTGCATCACCCGTGTCTGCATTGTCCACGTCATACCTGCATTATCCTTACCTGCATCACCAGCATCATCCAGGTGAAGCTGGGGAACTCATGGCGTGGATGAGGGTCTTGTTCTTGTGTCTGTTCCATGGGATGACACTGCCCCTGTATGCTAGTGGGACCTCTTCCCAGAGGCTGGGGGACAGGCTTACAGGGAACCAGTGGAAACACCTGGTTGCCTTGATGTAGGAGTTACTATTTTATTATCATTTCATGAATTTTTTTAGTTTTAGTTTTTTTATTTTATTATATTTTAATTTCTTTGTTTTATTTTTATTTTTTGTTTAAAGCTAGCCCTGGCAGGCCGATGAGATATCTCCTGGCAGAGAGAGATAGCATTCAGAGACTGAGAGTGAGAGCCCCTGGAAGAGCAAAGGCTCTTCTTCCCAGTCAACCCTCATCTATACACTGGGCATGACATTGCATGATATGGAATACTTCACTGGCCAATTTAGCGCTCAATCTTAAGTCTGAGTTCAAATAATGAGGGGAATTGTGGGCTCTCTGTCCTGGCTATGCCCCCTCCTGCCTATTGTGCTCTTGCACACTGTCAGAACATGGGGAGCTGAAAAGTCCTTGATGTCTCAGTGTCAACTATGAACATCAGTGCACCATCAACGTTCTTCTCGTAGCGAATCTCAGACTGAAACCAAAACACATGGCTCTTATAGCTGCTAAAAAGAAATACTAACTCTGTCCCAGCCAAACCCAGGACAGTCAGACACACTGTGGCCAGAAGACCTGTTCAGCCTACGGTCCTGCTTCAGCTATACTTTGGGTCAAAGCATATCTTATTTTGACTTCAGATAATAATTGTATTTCTTAAAGATGATCTAAGAGCTACCAGCTTTCATTACGCTTTTCCGGGGACTGCTGATCCCTCTCGTCTCTCCATGACCCCAGTAGTGGGGACCAGAGATGGGCCAAGGTGACCTGAGCTGGAACACACAGCTTTTTGGGTCAAAACACAGCCCTACGCTCCCCCCACCAGAAACCACCACCTTCGTTGGCCACATTACACCAGCCAGAAGGATGCTTCATAGGACTGAGTAAACCAAAGCCCTGGTGTTCTCCTGCCATGGGTGAGTGAGGGTTTTGGAGCCTCCTCTGAGTTTGCACATCATTCTCTCCAAGGTGCCTGCCTTGGGACCGGCGTTTCATCCCAGCAGGATTATTCCTCTGCGCAGCGAATCTTCATGAGTCGGTCTGAGCAGGGGTACAGATGAACTGCAGGCATCAGTTTGTCAAAGGATAAAGGCTTTATTTATTAAAATACTATTTTTTTAAAAAATTTGTAAGGCAGAAAACCTGCAGGGGGTATGTGTCGTGACACGGGAGGTCCTAGGGCTGCATCTGATCGCACGCATCAGTAACACTGATGAAATATGCCGAGTGTTTTCCTTTGTGGCTCCAAGGGCTCAGGGGTGAAGCAGTCTCTGTTCCACCGCCCCGTCACATGCCGCATCCAGATTGTGCTCCTCTGGGTCCCGGGTGAGGTCTACAAACACCTGCAACGCGCCACAGCGGAAACAACCCCGTTATTGCCAAGGACTGACAGTATTTACGTTGGTCACAGGCTGTTTCTTCTCTTTATACAGGCAGTTTCTAACCTGAAACTTCTACATCAACATACCTGTTGCAAAGTGTGCAAAGACAAGCTGTACTCCTCCAGCCTGAGATGCTGTTTAGCTGCAGAGGGATGGAGAAGGTACCCTTAAAAACAAATCCATATGAACAATTCCAAAGCAATCTTACTTCATTGATTGTTTCCTATTACCTGCTTCTAACTTGGAGAAAGACTGGGAGAGAGGTAGCACATCTTCCATTGGTATCTTGTAGATGAGCAATGAAGAAGTCCTGAAAAAGGAATAAAAAATTGAATTAATCGTTTAATGACACAGCACCAAGGTTTAGGTGTGCTTGTAGGGTTGCTGTACTCCCAGATAAATTATTAAGCAAGATTAGTAGGAGCAACAGAGTGTTCCAGCACAATTCCAGGCTGGGTGCGTAGTCCATGGAGTAGTGACCTTTCCTGCCGAGCCGCATGTGGGAAGAGGTGCAGAATTTCGGCGTGGAGAGCATCGCTTTGCCCTGTGTCCGTCATTTTGACTTCCAGGTGGTAACTCGTGCCAAACTTACTTTTCAGATCCTCAAGGGAACCGATGTACCTGCAGAGGAGGGAAAACAGTGCTCAGCTCATCCTAAGCAGCAAGTAAAGCAGTCGCTGGGTATGAGCAGCTGATGTACATGCACTTATCCATCAGCTGTTCATATCGTGCTGCTAAAACAACTTACCTCCTCACAAAGCTGCTTGTTACACACTTGGGACAATCCAAACTAACATTTCTTATTAGATTAAGGGGAAAAAAAAATAAAAAAGAAAAAAAAAAAAAAAGAAAAAACAAAAAAACCCCACACTGATAAAAACCCTGAACAATCACCCCCCCCCCCCAAAAAAAAAAAACCCAACTAAAAATCAGGTGAGCAATGAGACCCCTGTGCCCACCGTAGCTGCCCTGACACCAGGATGGCCACCCGGTCACATATGGCCACTGCCTCTTCCAGGTACTGCGTGCTGAGGACGGCTGCTCGCTCCTTGTTTTTCATGGCAGCCTGAATCACCTTCCTGGGAACAGAGAGATCGCAGTTACTTCCCAGGAACAGCCAAAGAAAATCTCCTGTTCCGTATCTCCCTCCCAAAAAACAACAGAAATAATAAAACTATAAAAAAAGCTATAAAAACTATTTAAAAGACTTGAGTTATCTCGCGTGAAGATCGGATGTGGATGCCAGTGCTATGTTGCAATCTGTCACATCGGAATTCCTCCAAATTTTACACTTTCAGTGTAAACTGCTGATGAAAAGCTAGAGCTGAGTGATGAGAAGGAAGAACTACCTATACTTTTTTCCTCATGCCCTGAAGAAACAGGATTGATCTCTAAGGTCTTTTCCAAACTAGAAATTCTATGATTCTATGATTTTTCTGTCCTTTGTGCATGGGTTCAGCTGGAACCCACTCGTATTTTTTTGGTGCACTACTGTTAAGTTTACATCTGATGGTTTGCAAAGGGCTTACTGCCAGCTGAGCGAGGACTTTAGCGGTGGTGCTCCATCCCCCGTGAGTTAGGAAAAAGGATAAACCTCTTTGCCTGCCCAATGGTTACTGCAATGACGAGGATAAGACCCCCCCTATTAAATCTGTTATACACTTCTCAGTTCTGCTAAAACGGGGCTGCTCACCACATCCGGCGCTGCCCTTTCAGGTCCATGCCCACCGATGGCTCATCCCAAAGCATCACCGTGGGATCTCCCAGGACGCTCAGGGCAAAAGACAGCTGAAATGGGAAAGACACAGAGGTCAGTGTCTGACCAGTTGTCCTGTTACAAAACTGGCCAGTTGTCCTGTTACATCTGAATCCCTGTGAATCTTTTAGAAGCTGAAGCTCTTGATTCCGAAATAAAAGAGGAGGAGGGATTCAAAAAAATCCCACCTCAGGTGTTCTCAGATAACATTTTAATCTCCCAAAATCAGCTTTCCCCAAAACTCCCAAGCTTGCCAGAGATCTGAAAGTGGTTTTTCCATCCCATTTCCTGGCAGATGCACGTGGTGGGGCATGAAAAGGCAATTACCTTGTAAACCCCATTCGTGGTTACATTTATTAAACACACAATGTGGGAGAGTGGGGAAAGAGGGTGGTGGTGGAACCTTCTGGATTCAAAAGCTATTTGATGAACACAAAGCATGCCAGAAGTCCACTCTGCTGAAGGTTTTCTGTGCGCTGTATCCAAGAGAGAAAGAGCAGGTTGTGCTCATGTAGCAAACACAAAGCTAACAAGTACCTTTCTGGCTTCTCCAGCAGATAACCTCCTAGCTGGGGTTTTCAAATGCTTCTGGAGATCCAAGGCCTTTGCTATGCTGTGGGGAACAGAAAGGAAAAATACTGACCTGACCAACTCTGTTTGCTAACATGGTCAGGGGTACTGAGGAACCAGAGACCAACGTAACTTGTTTCAGCTGATACACACCAGCTTGGGTTACTTGGTGATTTTACTCCTAGCCTGGATGGTAAATTAAGGTTGGATGAGGCTTTGGGCAACCTGGTGTAGTGGTGGGTGTCCCTGCCCATGGCAGGGGTGTTGGAACTGGATGATCTTTGAGGTCCCTTCCAACCCAAACCATTCTATGATTCTATGATTAAGGAATTTTTGCAGAAACTCCAGACAGTAAGCACAGCTAATGAGAGAAGTGAGTTTCTCATATAACTTGCCATGAACTGGAGCAAGTTTAATTTTTTTTTTCTGAGATTTTCTAGATAAAATCTTCATTGACAAGGGACTGAGAACAGTATAAAGTAGATCTCATCAGAAGGAGATTCCATTTCTCCAAGGCTGTCTCTTAATCACACTAGCCAGAAAAACTTTTCCCTGTCCTATACTTGGGGAGAGAGGAAGAACCAAAAGCTAAAATCATTCGGCTTTGTACCGGCTGATGATGACAGTCGTGCCTTCTTTCCTCATGCCTCTGACGGCAGCGTAGGTCTCCAGGTGCTGGAGCACGGTGAGGTCTGGCCAGAGCGGGTCCCGCTGCGGGCAGCAGCCCCGGCACCCCGTGCCACCCTGCCCTGGGGAGGGGGCAGCTGCGTCCCGGCCCTGGAGCAGCACCTGCACAAATACACATGCCTGGCGGTTGTAGCGGGTTATTCCGGGGGGAATCAGCACACCCCTTGGAGACACTTGGATGTTTTCTCCTCTGTTGTGAGGAACATCATTAGCACATGGGAAATGAAGTCCAGCATCACTGGAGTGATCATCTCCATCTATCACGGCTTCTGCTCACTGGGATCCAGGACAGTGTTTCCACAGAACCAAATAGTATTTGCTGCCATAAAACTTTGAGTAACAGCACCAACATGAGACTATCTTTTCCTAGTAATGCTTTTCTATTTCAAACATTCAGTCCCAAATCTGTAACAGCAATGGTATTTCCCCTCCCCCAGCACATGTCATTAATCATGCTGGACATAATTAAGTGATGGATTGTTACTGGCCCAACCCTGTTCCCATTCGTTTTCAATTTCCTGGTTTTGCAAGGCTGTTTATGAAGAGTATTACTTTTTTTTTTTTTTTTTTTAAGATGTCAACATTTCTTACAGGGCTCATGAAACTTCACGATGGGTTTCAAATGCACACCGAAGATTTTGTGCAGTTCAAACCCTTAAATCTGTAATATTGATTTTCATGAAAATTAGAATGTGCTTTGGGTAAAGCAACACTTTCTTCTTACTTCTCTAAGTAGCAGGGTTGCATGTACATAAATTCTCCGACTTAAGGGCTACACTGCCAGCTTGCCTTATCACATCCTTCATTTATAAAGGCATCAAGATCCAAAGGAACCACCTACCTCCCCAGCAGTCACCGTTACGTCTCCAGAAATCATGTTTATAGTTGTGCTTTTTCCAGCTCCATTGGGTCCTAACAGACCTAATACTTCTCCTGGAACAAATACGCAAGAACTGTTAATAATAATTATTATTAATAGGACCTTTTTCCCTGTGTGCTAGGCAATATCTAAAAGTAAGAGAAAAGGTTGTTCATTAACTTATCCCCATAAATCAAAATCATGAACACAGAAGCACAGGTGCATTGGGTTTCGTTGCACACAAGAAGGTTCTATCAAAAACATGGTCTCCAAATGTGACCTTCACATTAGATTTTAGTCACTAATAGGAGCGCAGCTAAATACTTGAACCTTTTTTAACACTGAAAGAGAGGTTTTTGACAGCAACTTTCTTCTTTTTATTGCAGATGGAACTGGCTTTCTTGTCTTTGTACTCCTTTCGCAAACTGTTGACCACGATAACTGACTCCTGTGAAGAGATGAAGTGGGAAATAAAAACTCTCCTCCTATTGCATGACATAGCTCATCTGTTCTTACCGTTAACTATGACTCTTTAAAGAGAAAATTTCTAAATTAAAAATCCAGGAAACAGAGCAACAGGAAAGAAGGGGAAAAAAAGCAGAATGGGAATAAAAATACAGTGCCAGCTAAACTCCTTCTGGTGCCAGAGAGACTGTGGGCTGGATGGTGACATGTGCACTTGGACATCAGATCAGTAAATAATAAGTGCCTGAGCTAAGAAAGCAGAGACAGACCCGAAGATGGAGAACGAAAAAGAAAACAAGCCAGAGGGCTGCTTTCACCTCCTCTTGCTGCAGGGAGTCCATCACACTCCTCACCCTCTCCCTCTCCGCCTGGACTTCTGGGGGCTCCTCCCCGGGGACATCCCTGTTCTGGTGGGTGACTGCTCTCCTCTGCTGGATCCTACAAGCGGAGGAGGAGAGATGGTGTCGCTGCGAATCACTTCCAAAAAGTCTTGGATTTACAAGTTTGTTGCCAGGGCAGTGCCAATGCTGTGTCCCACACAATTTACTGGAATTCAGGGAGCTGTTCCACAGACAGTATTTGCTCAAATATTTATTCATGGGGGGAAAAAATAATCCCACTGGAACGCATGAGAAAATAAAGGCCAGCTTTAGCTTTTCTTTCATCACTAAGTATTGACTGGTCCCCTGGTCGACAAACACCAATGATCTGTCCAAGGAGAATTAAAGTACACGGGGCAGGTTTTCGAAGCTATTTGGACGTTTAACTCCCAGCTGAGCCACATTGGTTAACGTCTGACAATTTAACATTTTCTACAAATCTTTCCCCACGTGACTTAGGTGGTCAGTCACGTGCTGTTGGCGACAGAGAAGCAGAGAGCAGGTAACAGACGACCCCGATCTGATGAAACTTTTGGAGAAGTCTCCATCCGGCAGAGAGCAATACTGACACATTTGAAAGGGAGTTGAAATGTTGGATTTAAATGTGTAACTATTAATTTAGCCAGCTGCAGTGAAACGTCCTGAAACTTCAGCTATGAATCTTAATAAAAAAAAGCTTAAATCACATTTATTATTCTCTCTTGAGCATTGTAGTTCAACTGACTTTCTATTGCAACACACTGGGGGGGAATTTGCCTCCAGACACATTCAGAGAAACTCCAGTAAGTAAAGTCAGAGATTGTAATGACCCAAAGGAATAAAAAAATCCCTCCCTTCATTCTCAATTTCCTCCCTTCCTCCCTTTAACCAGGTAAACTGGTTTAAACTAAAAAGATGAGCTTTATCCACACTTTGAAAAATGTTTTTAAGGTAACTCCTCCTCTCCTCCTGCTGTCAGGGCTGTGCCAGGAGGGTCCTGCCTGGCTGTGCAGCCCCGAGCCCACCCTGCAGACCAGGGTAATTGCAGTTCTCAAGGCACCCTGGCACCCCCTGCCCGGGACACACCTGAAGACGGGATCAAGTCTCGTAACTGCTTCTCCATATCTCATCTCCAAACAGCGCAGGAGAAAAGCGAAAATCACACAATGGATGTAAGGCTAAAAAGCAACAATGAATTGGGTTTGTATGGAGACAAGGTAACAACACACTTGATTAATTTTAATTAAAAGGGGATGCAAGGACCTATCTCATTTACTTCAGCCATCGAAGAGGTAGTTATGTAGGTCCAAAAGAGGAAGAAGTGGAATTGATGCTTCACATACATTTCCATCTCATATGCGGGTCATTTGCAAAAGCCTTGGCATCATACTGCAGTTTTAGCTCAGATAATCTGCCCCCGACAGACATCCGACAGGAGCAGAGATGATGTCTTTTTTTTTTACAGAAGCAGCATTAGACTGATTAGCTGATTAATAATATCGCTGCCTCATACATGAGCTCCCCTTAATCCCCCAACCATATGGAACAGCATCCAGGGGCCACATGAGACACAAGCCCGTGATTATTTGGATGTACCTCCCCTGCCAACATTTAATGTGAAACTTTGACAACATAACCCCTTTATTTATGGGGAGAGTTATACAAGCCCGGTGCAAGTCCATCACATTAAAACAGTCATCCTTTCCAAAACAACCATCATCCAATTGCTCCTTACTGCAAAGGCAGCTACGAAGATGTCATTCCTTGACTCAAGAAGATCGATACTGTGAAACAATGAGAAATGCTACAAGAAAAAAAAAATCAGTCCATTAGAAAAATTCCTTAGCACAATGTGCCTCTATGCAGGGTGGGAGCAAGTGTGGGATGTAGGGATGTCTAGCTTTTCTTCAGGATGGGATAAAGAAGCTTTGATCTTTACTTATTTTTGGGAGATCGTACTGTCTCAAGAGCTGCAGCTTCCTTGGCTACAGACAATTCAGAGATGCCTGATATCAGTCAGGTTAGATCAATCTTTTCCATCATGGTTTCTCTCTTCCCAATCCTTTCACCTCCTTCTGTCAGCTCCCTTTGTCCCTCCAGGTCTTCTCACTCCACCACCTTCCCCTGCCATGACTACCCTGGCTTCCGAAATACAGTCATCGTAACAGCTTTTTGTAACTAAACAAACCAAAAATATCCCAATCAAACCAAGGATTAACAAGTCAAATCTTGATCCCTTTGCCCACTCCACAGCCTGGACCTTTTCTTCTCCTGTTGTCTTTTCTCACTCTATTTGACAGTCGGCATTTTGAGACAGGGAATTTGGAAAGAGCCTCTTGCTTTTCCAATTCGCACCATTTGGGCCATTATTTATGAATTTAGTAAGGCACGTTTACTTACTGGTGAAGAGAAGATCCACCAGCCCAGCAGTGGAAACACAGGAATCAAAATAGAGAAGGTGAAGTAAAATGCTTTGTGTAGGTCACTGAACATGTAGAAAGTGAAATTTACCTGGAATAAAGCAGAAAAAGTATTTCCAATATTAACGTATTGTTGCTAAAAACCAGGCGATTGGTCACTGATTTGGGTTATTCTGCTGAATATCAGTGCACTTAAAATGGGACCTCAGGTGGCAAGATGTGTAAATCCAACACTTCAGATTCGCTTCACTTACCAGAATGAAGATGAAAGACCAAATGTAACGATTGCTTCGCCCCGTGCGAAGCGTGAAGGCAATTAAATAGACGAGGAGGACAAGAGACACTCCATAACCAGTGACGCAGATGATCTGGAGAGAGACTGATGTCAGTGACTCGCAGATGGATGTGGGTGCATGAAAACCTGCCTCGAGCAGTCCGTTTTGATTACAATATCTAATGCAAAAGCTCGCTGCGAAATAAGGGAGGGGGATGTGGGTCTGCCCGCTGTCCCACACGCAAAGAGCTCACCAGGGGCAGCACGGTGCTGGCCTGCAAGGGGCAGACGCGGTTGAAGAGTACCGTGACCCCGAACATGAGGCACACCAGGGTCCAGAAAAGTGGGACGTCCACCAGCGCCTGCCCGCACCAGTATGCCGAGGGGAAGAGCCCCGCGAGCCGCAGCTGGGCACGAGCCTGGAGCTGCCAAAGCAAACGGGAAAAGGGAGTGATTCAGCAGAGCCCAAAACATCATTCCTGTTCCTCCTTCGTTACTCTTGCTCCCCCCTTCCGTGGCTGAGCCTTCCTCTTCCTTCCAAGTGCTTTCAATTCTTTCTTAGTTTTGCTGTTGTTTAAAAACATCATTCTTAAAAAGGAAAAAAAAAAAAATTAAATGCTCCTGACCAAAATCTTTATTAAGGCCCAAATTGTTCTGAGCCCAAGCTGATTCCCTGAGGTGCAGGGTAACACACTTTGGTGCAACGTTGCACTCTTGTGACTGTATTTCTTCCAGCATCCCACCTAGAAACGCCGGCCAGCCCACCGGCACACGAACTGCTATCCAGGGACATCATATTTGCATTCACTTCTTGCATAATGCCACTCTCAGCGCGTGCTTTTTACCTTGTAATCCTCCCTGCTGCTCATCGCGAAGTAAGGAGGCAAACCAGCGGCCAAAACCAGCATGTAGCTGAGGCAGATGAAAAAAATATTGCTCTTTACTTCCAGGCTTTGTGTCTGCGGAAAGAGAAATTCAGAAGTCATCAATGACCAACAGCTGCCCAGGGAAAGTCTGGCTAGCTCGATGTTCATAGGCAAGTGAGCAGTAACACCTACGGTAAATAATTTGAGTTTAGGAACACAAACCAAGGCAATTAACAAAAGCATTTAGTATCTTAAAATTTGCAAAAAGTACTGGAATTATTGTAAATTTTTGAGGCTAGAGACCGTCTTTTCGATGCTGATTCTCGCCAAATGCATGCCGAAGCAAGGTGGGGCTTCCAAGAATTACTGGTGTATTCCTACCGTATGGCCACATAGCACCAGCTTCAATGTCTTACGGCACTGAAACCCTGCAGAGCTCTTCAACGCTGCAGAAGAAACTCTCTTTAAGCAGCCATGATACTGACTGCTGAGAAATGCCTCCAGGAACCATCCAGCAGCTGGACCACTGATCTCAACCCTTGGAGGTTGCTCACCCAACCACGTTTCCAACCCATCCAGTCCTTATCACTTGAGCATGGCTGTTCCAATTAATTTTCCCCAAGCACGGCAGGACACTCACGCTATAAAAGGGCTTACTCCAGACGCGGATATGTGCAGTGGAGTTGAAGAGCCTTAGGAAGGTGTTGCTGAGGATATTCATGAGCACGGGGAAGCAGTTGATGGGTTCTGCGCTGCACATGACCGTGAATCGGTAGCTCTGAAGACAGAAGAGCAAGAGACGTTACCTCGTGCCCGTGAAGAGGAGCTGACCACAGCCAGGGGTTTAGAGAAAAGCAATGGCAAAGGCAATCAGACAGTTTTATTGGTGGGACTGCAGAGACCTGGAAGCACATTAGCAGGTACCATGAGCGAAACGATCAATAAAGACAACAATTTCTGGAAAGCACGAAAGTCTTGCATTAATGCTTTTCTCTAAAGATCACCGTAAAAAAGTGGAAAGAACTAAATACAGTCCTGGTTGCCCACGAACAGGATTACTGCTACTACTTAGTATCTCAAATAATCTCCCTTTTGCAGCTGTGTGCATTTTGCTGTGCCTCATTTAAACACATTTCAGAAAATCCTGTTGATGTGCAGGATGAAAGAAGAGAAAATATCACTCACCTGGTCTTCCAGGGATATTTTTATGGCTCCGTTATGTAGTGGAATGCTTGTAATGTTTTTCTCAAGAGTCATTTCTGGCATTATGTTTTGAGTCTTCAAAGCAGCAATGAAATCCTCAATTTCTGATCCTGAAATCAAGTGAAAAAACGAAATTAGAATAATTAGAGGCTTTTTCTTTAAATATAAACCGTTTTTTATAGATAAGTTCCCACTTGCAAAGCAGAGGTATGTTAAAGAAAATAAAAATAATTCAGAACCTAAGCAAATTTATATTGTCTATTTCTTTTCCTTATCTTAATTTAACTGATTATACACAATATATGTTTCCATAGTTTGTTTATCACCTTTTGTTTTGTTTTTAATTTGCCTGGTTCGTTACTCTTTTAAAAATCAGCTACTCCATTATCACGACTAAAACTGGATTTGTTTTTGCTCAGAAGAAAACACTTCCCAAAGCCACGAACATATAAAGGAACGTACAAAAAGAGTAGGGCAAGGTTGGTCTATCAACTCTAAGAGGACTCAAAGTGGGGCAGAAAGCGAATCAACATCACATGTTCTTCTTCACCTGTATCATTGAAGATGAGAAGATTTGTTGCCTTATTTTGAATTTTCTCTTCAGTGGGAAGAAAATAGGAGCTAGCTGTCATTTCCCAGTTGCTGGAGCTGTCCCACAGTTGAAATCCAATGAAAAGCATAAGCATCGGAAGGATAAACATTCCAAAGAATAGTAATCTAGATGGGAAAACAGACCATAGTGGGCCCAGGGGAGCTTCACCTTGAACTCCTCCTTAAGAAAGGCAAAGGGAAATTTAAAACGTAAGTAATTCAGAGCTCTACCAGTGAATTCTAACTGTCCTTACTACTGCACCTTTTCAACTTTCCCACCTAATTCTTAGCTTCCGAATATCTCCACTAGCATTTGAGCCTTCCCTCAGTCACTCCAGGGAACGATCAAATCCTTTGGAAAGCACCAGGCCAGCACGAGGGCTGCAGATCAGGCGAGAGCTCCCGTACTTACATGGGCCTGAGAAACTTTCCTTCATGCTTTAGTTTTAAGAAGCGAACCCTCATCATGGCACACACTTGCTGCCTCCAGAGTGCCATCCCACTCATCGCCGCGCTCCCCTGTTCGGAAAACACCAGGAGGCTTTCGTCCTTCTCTTCAAGGTCTCCACGAGAAACATCATTATCTACAAAGGGCATTCAAAGGACACGTTCAAGTGCAAACAATCAACAAGGATCTTCTGTTCTGAATAGAGGAATGCTTTCATTTTTAGCCAGGAAAGGAACAAGGGCAGAGAAAAGGGGTGATAATTTATCCAGAACATAATTTACATTGGTGAATTCAGACTGGCTGAACATGGGCTTATATGGCAACACATGCAGTAGCTTCACTGGCCTTGTGGCTAGTTTATCTCTTGCCACCTCCTGGTCTGAGCAGTATACCCTTCAAAGGCAAATACCCTTCCAACATCAGTCTAATTCCTGTACTTAAAAGCCTGTGGGAAGTCAAGACTGAAGCATTTAGACTTCTCCAAGAAGACATTCCCCACTAAAAGATATTTGAACACAACTGCAACTCTTGAACTACTGAAAACTACCAAAATTCACATTCAACAGAAACTCATTAGATATTCAATTAAAACACATATAGATACATATAGAACTTTAATTGTGCCACAATTGCAAAAGAGAGTCAACATTTTACCTTCTTGACCGACGGCTTCCTCGCCCTCCAGCTTCAGGAAAACATCTTCCAGGGTTGTCCTGCTAACCTCATAATGAACAACCCCCTGCAGAAGACTGCTCTCGAGGTGGCTGAACAGATCTGCACAACAGAAACAGCCAGACTCAGCCCAGTGACCAAGGCCAGTGTTGGGCAGAAACTCAGACTGGTATGATTAATGTTGTACTTTCTAGCATTTGCACCATTTATCTCTGTAATTCGCACAACAGAAACAGCCAGACTCAGCCCAGTGGCCAAGACCAAGTTGGGCAGAAACTCAGACTGGTATAATTAATGTTGTACTTTCTAGCACTTGCACCATTTATCTCCGTAATTTAAATGCCATGGCAAAATTATTTTGTTCTTTAGAGATAAGCAAAAAATTCAGTTTTCTTGATTACTGTGGGCCTTGCTGGTGGGAGAAATCTCACTCTGAAATCAGAGAAAACTCAATGGATTTTAGTTTGTAGATAAGTTGGTGGATTTTCTTTTGTTCATCTGCAGTGATGATATTAGCATGTCCATTACAAGCTTTCTTTAAGGCTGATGTTCATGCAGCTCTGCGCTTCCTAATCCCACGCAGTGTGGACAAGGGGATATATTCATTCCCTTCACAGCAACTTTGCTTTCTGCTTTTTGCACCGTTTGGTTTCCCTTTACACCCTACAACAGGCTTCTCTTACCTGGGAAGCTATCAGTGTTTCCCAGAGGTAGCGTATAACACAGCTCACCCCCCTTCTGTCCTTTGAGCACGGCATCAGGGATGTACTGCCTGACCAAGGATGATGTAAGCTCAGGGTCGCACAGGTCATTTATGCGCATCCTGTTTGTATTAAAAAGCAATTGGTACAACATCAAACGAGAAAAAAATATATGCATGCATCATCCATTTAAAACACAAAGCCAGTGGTTGTTCTTCAAGCTGTAGGGAAAACTCCAAAACTGGGCAGCATTCCAGCGGGAATTTTTGTAGGCGTTTGCAGTGCCCCTGGTTTTGCCATGCATGCAAGAAATAGTTGAGGTTAAGAATAATGATCCTGGCCAATAGTGCTAAACCAAGAACACAGAAATTAAAATCCAGAGAAAAACAACTTTACATTAAAGCTGTTGCACATCACTCTGGCACCACAGAGTATGTGGAAATTGCATTTCCTCTTACTCTGGTCTCCTTTTGGCTGCGAAGGAGATTGCAAAGTAATTTTAGCTACATGCTCAGAGCTGAGTTCCAAAGAAAAGCACCTTGCTATCCAAAGCGAGATATTTCTGGCAGCCTCAGAAGTCTTCTGAAATGAATTGTCAACGTTTCTATTACCCTATATAGAAATTCTATAGAGAGACAGACTCTACAAGAAAATGGTCACTAGAGAATCAACTAGAAGCTTTTCATAAAAAGAGTGATGACCAAAAGGAAAAGGATTTACCTTAAGTGATAGCCAATTCCCCACTTTCTCTTCAAGTACAGAGATGAGCCAACACACTGTAATCTCCCATTTGAGAGAAAAGCTTTCCGATCTAAGGAGGTACGAATACAAAGGATTTAGGGGGGATTTACAACAGTGCAGTAGACTGACCTCACTGCTCCTTCTGAACTCGATAGATATTTCTATAATGAAGTTGAGAGGAGTAAAACCAGGCCAGTGCTGAAGGTCTTTTTCTTCTTGAACTGCTGCCTTTCTCCTAAGCACCAAGGTTAATCTTTTAATATCGTATTCTTATAAAAACCTGCGGGAAATTTCTTATGCAGCCTGGGAGCAATATAGAAATAGGAAAGAGAATTCAAACAATATCACTAAATTGTGTGGGTGCTGCTAGTGGTACATCCAGATAATATGCAACTGCTTCATCCTGAAAGAGAGCATGAGCACAGTCCTGGAAGGGAGCGTTTGGTCCAGTTTTAGCCTTGGCGCAGCCTGGGTCGGGTGGTCACTCTCAGACAAAGCGTGTCCAGCAAGCACAGACTGCATCATGGCAGGACCCATACGTGGGCTCTGCAGTGGGAAACCCTTGTTTTCAAACTGTAGGCCAATCACAATGTGAAAAATCTGGGCTCACCAGCATAAGCATCG